GGGAAAGAAGTTTTGCCTCTGGGCGCAGTGCCCAGCGCAGCACTCGCTGTCCTCCCTCCAGTTCAGAGAATTGAGCTGTGATATAAGCTCTCCTCCACCCTTCCTCCAGCCTTATCTTCTTTGCAGACAGACTTTTTGCTTTGCTTTCCTTGAATTCTTCTGCTGAACTCACTGCACTGTTGTCTGATCCGTGTTCCTCTACCCTTCCCCAGCCCACCTCTCTCCTTGCTCAGTGCACGCCTCTTTTACACTCCTGGATCTAGTGAAAAACAAATCCTTCTGAGTTCCCACCCCTCTAATCTTTTCCTTTCTCTCTTTACTTGAGTTTGCTGTCTGGAGATGCTGGTCACAGGTCCAACATGAGATCCTCTTGGCACTTCTCTGTGCATTCCTGGGCACTGCTCTGCATAAAGCAATGGCCTGTTCGGGGCCAAAACAGAAAATACCCTTGCGCTCACCAGCACTAGTCTTCCTTTCCTGTCCATCTTCACCACTTTGTCCAGCCCTGTCTGTGCTGTGCTGACCAAGAAGACCAGTGAGCTTTCTCTGAGGTGCTGTGATCCCGTACTGGCACATTGTGGTGTGGCATTTGCCATGGTGCCACCAACCGTGGAAGCTCGTGCTGCTCTCTCTGGAGGAGTGTCCCAGTGACCTGCAGCACTGCTTGGCTCTGTTCCTCTCCTGTCCACCATTTCTAGTGCTCCTGACTCTCTTGGGTCAGCCCAGAGGCGTGTGCTTCCCAGCAGCTGAGGGTGTAGGGAAGGCTTTCATGCCTGTACAAGGAGAGATTTGGTTTGTGGAGGTCTGTGGAGCATTGTTGGCAGGTAGTTGGGGAAAGGAGGATAAGGAGGGGCAGCTTTGTGCAGCATTTAACTGCCCTGCTTGCAGGGTAGGGGCATTTCTGGGTCTTGGCTTCCTGAATTTTGGGTATTCTGTCAGAAAACATCCCTTCCCCCCTTGGTGAAGGAAACAGGACAATTCTGCTGGGGCTGCCCATGGAGCTTGATGGCCTGCAGAAAGGTTTTGGTGCAGGCCCAGAGAAGGGATGTGAGAGTCCTTCATCTGAAGCTGTACTTTTTGATTCAATGTGTTTCTCAGTACAAGGACAAGGCTAACAGTGCTGCTGTGATCAAGTTAATCTGATTTTTTTTTCTGGCTTTTATAGCCAGGCACCAGGTCAGCAGTGGAAGGAAAATCAGCAGGCACCTGAGAAGCCAGAGGGTAACTGTTTGGTGGGCAGAAAGCATGTAGGATGTTTTGTAATGCAGCCAAATGCTTGTGTGGTGCTGTGGCTTGCCATCGTGCTGTAGTGTGAAGCACGTGGGGAACTCTGGCAGGGTCAGGTGGTGAGGCTGGCAGGTCACACTGGTCCTGACTCATGCCCACCAGAGCAAGGGGTCCAGGTGCATGGCAGGGAGAGATGTGAGCACGTGCTTGTCCCTCCACTGTTGTGCTGCACTGAGTGCTGCATGGGATGTTCATTAAACAGGCTGACAGCTCACATTCAGCCACACAAGGTAAGAATCAGTGAAAGCTAATTTTTAAAGCACCCATTTTTAAGCCCCCAGACAGACTGCAAGGGGCTGAGTGCTGCTGGGAGAGTCCCTCTTCTGTCCACTCTCCTTGGTCCCAAGGGGCAGAATGCAGCCCGGTCTTAAAATGCATGGAGCAGCAGGTGCTGGGTTGGACAGGCTGAGAGACTGCTCTGGTATGCTTTGAGTTCTGCTCTTGGCTTCCAGAGGAGCTGATGATGTCCTTGTGCCTTTTACTGCCTGCCTTCCCTCCTGCCTCCCATGACCTTAGGCTCACCCAAGCTTCGTGGGCACTGCAGCACCCAAAGGTCAGCTTCTCATCACCCCACAGCCCTGCTGTGGCTCTAAGAAATGAGCTCCCCTTCCACAGCCCTGCTGATCCCAGTCTCTGGAAAAGCCTCGGGATCATGCTGGAGGGCAAAGAAATATGGTTGTACCCAGAATTCTGTCACACAAGCAGAGAGAAGTTGTTTCAAGCAGGATCTGGGACTCAGCTCATAGCCCAAATGGCAGCAAGTAGCCACCTCTGTCTCTTTCCTTTCAGTCTCAAACAAGATTGCAGTGTGGAAGCTGCTAGAAGGCCAAGTTGTGCTTTTGTTGCTTTCCCATGCTTACTTGATAGTTTTCCCTACAAAAAATGTTTAATCTGCCTGACCACTTTATGGGTTGTTCACAAAGTTTATTTAAAGTCCCATATGCACTGATGTGTTGCTGTGCCAGAAATGCTGCACCCTTAGAGTGGCTTATTGTTCTCCATTTTGTTACTGTGTCAGTGCATATTGGCAAAGTAAATCAACTGCTTCAAAAGGAAATTAATTTGCTTCCTGCCTTTATATGCTTGTCTCCCATCTTGGGGAGGAGAAAGGAGTTTCAAAAGTCACGAGGAATATAAATAGAATTAAGAAGCAGTGAAATACCTATCTGCCTGAGCTTCTTACTGTACAAGGGTCAGAAGTGCCCCAGTATGTCCTGTTGCAGAGAATGGGGTGCACTGGTCTTGCTGCTAGAGGGAACTTGGTCCACACAGGGTGATTTGGCACTGGCCTGAGTGCTGTGTCACCAGGCAGCCCTGTCCTGGCCCTGGACTGGGGAGAGCCTGGCACAAGGCTGGATTTGAGCACTGTCTATGGGAGCAGCTTTCCTGTGCCAGTGAGTTGCTGTCCACCCTCACTTCCTCCCAGGCCTGCTCAGACTGCATGTGTGGTGTTTATTGTCCCCACACAGCTCATCACTGATTCCTCTGCAGACCCATACAAGGCCTGCAGGTCTGCCTCCCTTCTCCCAGTCCTCTCCAAATGACAGTTCTGCCTGCTCTGAAAGCTGCCCAGTGGAGAAGGACCTGGTAGTGCTGGTCAGCAGTGGCTGAGTGTGAGCCAGATGGCCAGGAAGGCCAATGGCACCTGGCCTGTACCAGCCACAGTGTGGGCAGCAGGACCAGGGCTGTGGCCATCTTCCAGTGCTGGGCACTGCTGAAGCCCCACCTCAAATCCCGGGGTGGCAGCCTAGTCCAAGAAAGACACTGAGGCACTGGAATGTGTCCAGAGCTGGGGAAGGGTCTGGAATACCAGGAGCAACTGGGGGGGCTCAGCCTGGAGAAAAGGAGGCACAGGGGAGACCTTCTGTTATCTCTCCCTGACAGGAGGAGGCAGCCAGGTGGGGGTCGAGCTCTGCTCCCAGGGAAGAAGGGACAGGATGAGAGTAAACAGCCACAAGGTGTGCCAGAAGAGGTTTAGATTAGATATTGGGGAAATTTATTCATGGAAAGGGTTGTCAGGCATTGGAACTGGCTGCCAGGACAGTGGTGGAGCCACCATCCCTTGAAGCGTTCAAAAAATATGTGGATGACTTGAGGACATGGTTTGGAGGTGGCTCTGGGTTGATGGTTGGACTTGATGATCTTGGGAGTCTTTTCCAACCTTAGTGATTCTGTGACTCTTTCTTCTGGCTGTCTGCCCATCAAGTCATGCTCCAAATGGCTTTAGAATCAATGAAAATTCCTTCACTCTTACCACTGAAGTGTTCAAATGATTCAAGTCACATCCCTAAAATACTGTGGTTATGAGTCCTCCCAGGTGGAATTCCAGGCCAGGCTCATTCCTGTCACTGCAGCATCCTCTCCTCTGCTCATGACCAGTTCAATGTCCCGTCCCAGGTGCTGCAGAACCTGCTGTTTCTGTGGCTGTGGCTCTAACCAGCCTAGCCACCCCCCTATTCCATGCCCAGGTTTCCCAGCTGCCCCTTCTCTTTTCCATTTCCACAAAAGTTGGCTGTGCTTCCAGTCCCATTCTTGCCCTTTTGCTGTGTCTTACTGAACATCCCTGCTGCAGTTAAATCTGCACTCACCTCTGTGCCCCCTGCCTTGCTTCCCTCTGAGCCTGCACTCTCTGCGTGCCTCTGGCCAGCCGTGTCCTCAGGTTACCTCTGCTGAGGTCTCACAATTTCTTGCATACCTGTCACCACCACTTCTGTATTGCTCTTAAAGGGTGGTTTCTAAGTAGGAAAGGAGCTTTGTGTGCCGAGTTCCCAGATGAGTCCCTTCCCAAGCTGTCTGTTCCAAAGCAGGTACTGTACAGTAGGATTGGCCTGACAGCCCAGGCCCTGATAGTCTCTTCCCTGCTCTGTCTGTGCTTTTTCAATAATATTCTCTAAGTTTTATTTAAAAACAAAATTTAAAAAACCCTGAATGAGGCAGTCATCTTTGTGAGGAGAAGAAGGAAGAATCTGCAGGCCAGCACACACAGATCCCAGTAAAGATGTGCTGTAACAATTTGGTATCTGAAGGAACCACAGCTTCTTGCTATTTTAAAAAAAGGAAAGGAAAGGCTAAAAATAGCATAATCCTAGGAAAATAGAACAATTGCTGTCGCTGAAGTTAAGTATCTAAAATGAACCCACACTGGAAGCAAGTCAGGACTCCCAAAAAGAAAGAAACATTTGGAAATTACCTGTGAAACTCTAAAGTGCTGTGATTTTCCCACAGGAACCTAAGGGCTAGATTTGGGACAGATGCTGTTACAGCTTGGCCTTGCTGCAGACCCCAGTGCCCCTGTTTCCCACAACCCCTTCACCAGTTAGAGGCCTGGGTCTGATTCTGTTGAAGTTTAGTCCAAGACCTGTCAGATCCATATTAAGCTAGGCTTTACTGAACTCATGTCCTGCAGTGCCTGCTCCTCACTACTCCAGAGGAGAGCCCAGGAGCTTCTGTATTCATGACTGCCTTTCCCTGTACACGTTCATGAGCTGTTTCTTCCATTTCCCTTGTTAGTTGTTAAACCTAGACTTGACTCTCTCTGGTTCCCTTTAGGAGAAGGCTGACGTGAGTCAGACCGCACTGGCTGTAACCGGTGTGAGGGTTGGGAGTCTGTAGCCAAGTTGTGAGGAGCGTAGCGCAGGCGAGAGCTCCCGGCTCTGCCCGCCCGCCGTGCTCCTGCCGTCACGGGCTGATCCCCTTCTCCGTGCTCCCCGCAGTGGCTGAAGGACCCCGGGCCCCGCAATGAGAAGAGGACGCTGTTCTGTGACATGGTGTGTTTCCTGTTCATCACTCCGCTGGCGGCCATCTCGGGCTGGCTGTGTCTGCGCGGGGCCCAGGACCACCTGCAGTTCAACAGCCGGCTGGAGGCCATCGGACTCATAGCACTCACTATAGCACTTTTCACCATCTACGTCCTCTGGACACTGGTAAGTGCCGGCTGCCGGGGTCCTGCTCCTGCTCCAGCAGGAGCTGGGAGCGCCGGCTCGCACCTCATCAGTGCCACCTGCTATTTCTGCCTCCCCGTGTGAGAACACCTTGGGCTCTTCCACCTGAATGTCCATTTAGTTATCTTCATGTGCAAGCTGCTAAAGTTGGTGCTGAGAATGGAAAATCACCTCGTGGTCATCTGCTTTCCAGACTGTCACAGTGTTGCCCAAGTGTCAGAACCCAACCAGCCACAGAGTGCTGGGGCTGAGGCTGGGTGGGAAGAGCTTGGGGCTGGGTCAGGCAGTGGCCCATCTGTAGTTCAAGAAGAAACACAAACTTGTTAGCTGGGCAGTGCAGGGGAAAAGTAAAATATGGAACACATTTGACTAAATAATTTACCACCACATCCCTCTGTGCTTTTGTTGCTCAGCACAGACTGGCCATGCCCAGCTGGGGTGCAGACTGGCCTTGGAGGTGTCTGATCACAACTAAACAAACTCCTATGCAGTATTTTTAAGGTGTGTGGAAGGAACTCTCTGGCCCTGGGGAAACCTGTGGCTTCTCTGGTGCTGGGTTTTGTGGTCGGCGCTGAGTCAGGGCTTGGTAGCCAGGGTGCCCTGGCCCATGGCTGCATGGGGGGCACTGGGGGTTGCTGGGAACCTGCACGTGAGCCAGTCTGGGTGTTGAACTGATCCCTGCTGGGAGAGAGCTTCCTGCAGATGCCTTGTTTGGCATTTCTGGATGTGCTGAATTAGGGGGCGAGGAGCTTGTATCTTGCAGGGAGCTGAGAAGAGCAGGACAGCGAATGCAGGTTTGGGTGTGGCACAAGAGAAGCCTCAGTGGGGCTGCCTGGTCCCTCCCCAGGGCCCCAGGGCTGTTCTCTCCAGGGGCTGCTAGGCCAGGGACTTCCCTCTATTTCCCATTCACTTCTTTTGTCCTGTGTTGCTGGGTGGACTTCTGGGTTTGGATCTTGATTTTGGCTCTCCTGTTCCAAGCAAGCCCTTTGTGTGCTCATGCCCTGTCAATGCCCTTTTCCAACTGCTTACTGGGAAACATCATTTTGGGAAGGAAAGAAGTGCACTTGATGCAGGAGAAATAGTGGGATCCCAAAAAGCTGGGAGTCCTGTGGGCAATAGAAATTCCCCAGTCCATCTCCTTGTCGTCTCGTGTTCCATTTTCTCGGAGTAACCCCTTCCCCTGGGGCTGGACACTCCTTACAACTCCCCCCTGCAGACTTGGGAGCCAGGGCAGGATGAGCTGGTGCTGCAGCAGCCCCTGCTCTGGGGGCAAAGCTGGAGGCACTCCTTGCATGGGAGCCATGGAGGAAAGTTTCCATGCTGCATGTTCTGCATGAAGCTTGTTTCCATAGGAAGCCAAGCTGAAATTGGAAACCTTAAGAGGAAGTGTTTCCGTCTTCTCTATCTCAGGACTGGTGGGGAGGAGCTGAAAACCTGGAGGAAATGGAAAAATGTTTGTGCAGTAACAAGTCCTGACTAAAATGGCTCTAATTCTGCTGTGCTTCACTTTTCCTTGAGCAGAGGAGGACATTAGGTGAAGCCCCTTTCTTTATATTCAGCTCGTTCAACCCTGGGCTGTGCAGTACAAGGGGCCAATATGTGGGAGGGGGTTCATGGCTGTAACCAGTGTGAGGGTTGTGAGAGAGTCTGTAGGCAAGGCTGCAGCTCCTTTGTGAGGAGCAGGAGCCTTCTTTGAGGTTCCCACCATTAGCTCCCCATTCTCTGAAAACTGGGAGATGAGTTTGTCAGCAGTCTTATTGCCACAATCCCTCTGCAACAGGAAGGAGGGGTGTACACGAAACAATAAGCTCAATTACCTCAGTGCCACAGTGGCACAGCTTCATTTCTCATAAGATGTCTCGTAGACCCATCCAGAAGTAACAGTTTTACTGAGTTTTCTGTGTTAGATGCACTTCCTGGTACGTCCCAGTTGCCAATTAAATGCTTCCTGTAAGAAGGCCTGGTTTAGATCAGTGGCTGACTGGATTCGGTATTTAAGCCAAGCTCAAAGCTCCCCTCGCAGGGCTGCTCTGAAACTGCAGGGCCAGCTCCTGCCTCTGCTGGGCTGTTCTGGGTTCCTCCAGCCTTTGCTTCCTCCCCTGTCTCCCTCCGGGTGGACAAGTCTCCCAGGCCACGGTGTTGTCAGGAAAAAATGAGTCCAGCTGCTGTCCTGTTGTTGCAGACAAAGGAGGGAAGGTTTTTTTGCGCAGGATGAAGAAGGTCCCCTGGGGTGTGTGAGATGGGAGGAGGCTGGTTGGGTTCAGACCTTTGTTTTGCTCACCGAAGGTGCTGGCTGCAGCCCGGGGCTGGATGAAGGGGAGAGTTGCAGCTCATCCCCACCACATTTCAGCAGCCCGGAGCCAAACCCAGCTAAGCAAACCCCATCCTGCTCTGCTGGTGCTGCCCAGAAGGCCCCTTTGGCTGTGCCCCACTCAGCCTGGTGTCACCGGGAAGGGATTGATTGCTTGCCAGAGGCTGGGGACACGGAGCCCCTCAAACCGTGCCGGGGTCAGTGCTGTGTCCTTGCCTCAGAACAAGGGGTCCCCAGAGGCAGAGGGGCGCGGGCGTTGGGCTGTCCCTGCTGCTGTGTGCTCCGGCGAGGGGCGGTGACAGTGCTGCGTTCTCGCCCGCCAGGTCTCGTTCCGCTACCACTGCCAGCTGTACTCGGAGTGGCGAAGGACCAACCAGAAAGTCCGCCTGATGATCCCGGCCTCGCGGAGCCCTCAGCCCGTGCCCCACTCCCTCCTCTCCGCCAAGCTCATGAAGAAGGCGGCGGATGAGACCACGGTCTGAGCCGCCCCGCGGCCGGCCAGGGTGGAGGGTCGGGCATCCCCACAGGCCCAGGGACCGTGGCAGCTGTGGGGCACTGAAAACAATCATCCCACCCAAAGGGACTCTGTGCTCAGCACGTGCTTTAGACCTTGGCAAAGAGACACATAATCAACATCTGTGGGTGAAATGGCCCAAAAGAGCCTGATGGCAGAAAATGCCTGTCTGCAGGGACACTTTCCTATAACAAAATACCATACATGGAAAACATCTCCCTCTCTCTCTATATATATATATCTATATATAATATTATTTTTTAATGGCCATGCATATTGTGTTTCAATCCTTTTGTGTTGATGTTCTAAGCTTCAGGATAGAAGCTGGCAACCTGATCTCATTCAGAGGTTAAATCAATGCCTTTTCTCCAAATGAGCATATGAGGAACACTTTCCATCAATCATTCTTGAAAGTCCCCTTCTCCTTTGCACTAAATTGGTTTTGATATACTGCAGCAGCCTTCCCGTTACTCTTTGGTCTCTTTTGTGGTGTTCTGTCCTTTCTAGAAAGCTGAGTGTTTTTAATAATTACTATAATCCCAGAAGGAGTAAAATGACATAATACTGAATGGAGACATTTTGTATTGTAAAGTACTGTAATTTTGAGAATTTCAAAATCAGTTTCAGAATGAGAGAATCTTTTCCAGTGCAGACATGATCTCACAAAATGCTTTCCTTGAGATCCTGGCTTATCCCCAGGACTCGGATGCACTCAGCCCTTGGTCTGTCTGGCAAAGGTAGATGGAGGATCCGAGGGTGGGAAGAGATGGCTCCGTACTAGCTAAACCCACCACTGCCTTTTGCTTTGAAAAGATTGAAAAAGCTTTCCTGACCCCAGAAGGTGGGAGTTGGAGTCTGTTTGCTGATGTCCTTTTGCCAGCTTGAGGCTGGACCTCCTGTAGCATCAGTTTCACACGTACCTTAGGGGGCAGGCCATGCCCTGCGGCGCTGGCAGGACGCAGGTGCTCTTGGCTGTCTCTGCACTTTATTTGCACATTCCAGAGGAGCTGCTGGGATTGGGTTCATCCCTGGTAGCGCTGCCTGCCTGTTGTGTCCTCTAGTGAAACACCCCCCCTCCCCCAGTGTGCTGGTCCCAGGGAACAGGTTCTGGGTCCCTTGTCCTGTGTGGCCAGTGTTCCTCCTTCTCCTCCTTTCACCTACGTTTCCAGTACATGCAGCTCTCAAAGCCCTCTGTCTCAGAATGCCCCCTTTGCCAAGAGTCCCCCCGGTTTGGCTTTGGTCCTTGCCTCTGCCACCTCACCCTGCCAGACAGTGCCTGGTGCTGAGCTTTCCTGAGCCTCCTGAGTGGCACAGGCTGTGAGGACGCTGGTGGTGATGCTGCCCTGCTGGGTGCTCCAGAGGTGTGTGCTGGAGCCTGGGCTCTGGCTCCATGGTGGTGAGGGTAGAGAGCAGGCAAGAGGGAGGCTCTGAGGGGCCTATGTCCTTGCAGTGGGTGGTGGTGGTCGTGCACTTGTCCCTCTGCCCCTTTGCTGAAAGCAAGCGGGTCAGTGCAATGCCCTGTGAGATGGAGATCTGTAATTTCCTGAATTCAAAGCACCATGTGCAATTCCTCCTCTTCCTCTTCCTCCTCCTCCTCCTCCCTATCTGCAAAGCAGGATGTGTTTCCTTGTGTGTTCCCTCAGCCTGAGCTGGTAGTTGCTGGTGGCCTGAACAGCAGGGACCAGTGTGCCATCTTGCCCAACAGGATTGCTCCAGCCCTGGCCCTGTTGTCTGTCTGCTCTCCTCTGTCCCCTCTCCCAGGTGCAGCTTGGGGATACCCTGACACGTCTTGCAGCAGCCTCTCCGTGCCCTGAGGGCTGCTCTGAACTGGCCTCTGTTCCAAGCGTGAGGGGCTGGTGTGACTGTGGGGTGAATGTCCTCTGCTACAGCCTGGCTGCACATCTCTGCTCCTCTCTCTTGGCCAGCCCCCTGACTGTCCCTTCCCTTCTTCCACATACCTGGGGGTGTCTGCCCTTTTCCCACTCATGCACTCATGCAGGGATTACTCTGCTTCTGGTACTCTTGGTGGGGAGGCTGCTGCAGCCCAGCTCCAGTCAAAGTCCCTACTCCAGTCCCATCCCAGTCCCATGCAGGTGCTCCCCACCCTGCACACCCTTCCATAGCAGCAGGCTCTGCACCACTGCTCTGTGCCTTGTCCTGGGTGCCCCTTCCTTCAGCCCCTTCCCAACAACCCCCCTGTCACCAGGACATCACCAGTGAAGAAAAATGGAGGGGTGGTTTAACTTTCCCAGCCCTGGCTGCCTCCCAGGAGCTTGGCCCCACAAGGCAGCGAGTTCTGGCAGATGAGGGATGCTCTCTCCCATTGCATGTCCCCAGGGTAAGGACTTCATGGAGCCAGTGTTCCAGTTAAGAAACCCACCATCAATCCAAATATGCAACTGTGAAAGCCAGAAGCCCTTGGCTGGGGCAGTGGGGTCCCAGTCCTGTGTGTGGCCACGGCTGCACTCAGCATCCTTGGCTTTGCTGTCATTGCCAACAATTGGAGCTGTTGCATGTGCCCCCACAAGACCCAGTAGTGACTCTTTGAGTCTTGTCCTCCTTCCCAGAGATGTTCAGCTCGTGGATGTGGGCAATCGGTGTCTGACCCACCACGTTCCAGTGCGTTCTGGGGAAATGGGCTGTGCAATGATGTAAATAAAAGTGAGACAAACTTTGGGCTGTTGTGTTGTTATTGGAGGGGGCCAGGGCTGCAGAGCCCAGGCTGCCTCCCAAAGAGCACCCTGGCAGCAGCTGCCCTGGCCAGCCCCCAGGGCCCCAGCAGAAGGTTTCAAAGTTGGACAAAATCCAGGGCCTTTTTTCATTTCTGGGCAGTTTCTCTGTCAGTGTACAGAAGCCTGCCTGGCGTGGGCCAAGCAAGGCGATAATGTTTGGGCCAGGTCAAGAGTCCTTTGGCCCTTGGTTGGACCAGGGGTGTGTATGGGGCTGCATAGAGCGACCCTGATGCTGGCATGATGCCACCCCACAGAGGCTCCCTGTGAGCTGCCTGAGCCGGGCCTGCCCACGGCCCTGCAGCCCAGCCCCTCACTGCAGGCTCTGGGAGACACCGGGCACCTCTGTGAGCCCGGGTCATGGTGGGCAGTGCCTAGGTGTGTCCCGCTGTGTCAGAGCTGTGCTTGAGTGTGTGTGAGCCGCTCAGAGCTGTGTCTGAGCTGTGCCCAAGCGTGCAAGAGCTGCTGGCTGCATGCTGCAGGGCAGGAGCCTTGCTCTGTGCACTTGCTGCCAGCTGGCTCCGAGAGCCACCCAGGGCCAGCACCATGGCAGGGGCTGCAGGGCATGCAACCTCAGGGCAGAGACTTGGGCAGCCATCGTTCCCTGTTCAGTGGAGCAATGAGGAGACCCAACATCCCCTGCAGCCTTGGCCCCTGGCCCTGGATCTGTGTTGAAAATCTGGTCACGCCACACTTGCAGCAGGGGGTTGGAAATTGTGAAGCTGCCCGTTTAAAGTGCCACTCAAAGCACTGCAACGCCAATGTTGGATGCATTTCTGAGGTCCTGGACAAGGCTTTAGCCTTGGGCAAGACCTTGGATGAGTTTCTTGGCCAAGCTCTCAAATCAGGGTTTTTTTCGGCTTGTTTATATTAAAAGAAAAAAAAAGGTTTTAAAAAAAGAGAGTGCCATGGTTGGCTCAGCCAGTCCTATAAGATAAAACTGTGATGCCACACAGTAATCTGGCAGGGTGGGGAGAAGAAAAAGTGGCATCTGCAACAGCAAGAACAGTGTAAAAGAAGCAGAAGTCCCAGAGAAAGGACTCACTGGGGAAAAGGAAACAGTTCCCTGGCAAGGGCATTCAGTCACAGTTGCTTGGCTGATGTGCCAAATCCAGGCAGGCTTTGTTTGGAGCACGTCTGACAGAGCAGTGCTGAGAAGAGCATGTTTGTTGAGGTGCTTCCACTGTGCACTGCTGCAGCCTTTTTCCCTGGCAGCAGGAGGGTCCCAGGGGTCCGATCCCACCCTGCTGTGCACCGAGGGCTTTGGGAGCTGCCCTGTGCCTCTGTGTCAGGGCACTGCTGCCATGTGCTGTCTGTGCCCGCGCTGGCACAAACCGCCCGGCCCGGCTGTCTCCCCAAAACCACTCAGAGCCCGTGTGGGTCCAGCCTTGCTCAAGGACCCTGGTGGTCCTTACCCTTCCTGCCCATTGTGGCTCCAGCATGCAGAGACCTCTAACACATGAGAGCTGAATTTTAAGCTCCCCAGAGTCTTTGTGGTGCAATTCTAAATGGAATTATGTATTTCTCACACAAGTGCTGCAGTTATGCAACTCAGCTCCCACAGAGCTGATTTTTTAAAATTTAATTTTTGGGGGACACATCAAAAAGGAAACCAGAGCAAAATATTTACTCCCTCCAAACCACAAAATTCCAGTGAAGTTCCCAGACACCAGTCTGTTGAAAAAACCCAACTTTTCTCCAGTCTGAGGGACTAAGGTGGCTTTCAGAAAGGAATTTCTTCTTCTTGATTGAGGTAGGTGCCCCTAAATGCACAGCACAACTCTTTTGGGATGTTTTGCATGACAAAGGACAAAAATACAGAACTAACAATCTGCCAACTCCATACACCAACCTTCTGCTGTGAACCTCTGTCATGGTGTAACCCCAGCTGACAACTAAACACCACACAGCCACTCAGTCATCCTCCAAGGGGGATGGGGGGAAAGAAACTTTTGATTTGAGGTAAAACCAGCTTAATAATTGTGATAAAGTAATATGTAATAATACCAATGATAATAATAATTGTAATGAAAAAATATAAACCCCAAGTGGAACAAGTGATGCCCCTATAGGTGCTCAGCACCTGCTGATCTGTGCCCAGCCTGTCTCCCAGCAGCCATCAGCCCCTCACCAGCAGCTCCCCCAGTTTACACACTGGGCAGGATGTTTTATCTTGTGGAATATCTCTGGCCAGTTTGGCTCAGCTGTCCTGGCTGTGTTTCCCTCCCAGCTTCTTGTGCAACTCCTCGCTGGCAGAGCATGAGAGACTGAAAAGGCAGGGTAAACATCATGTGACTGATGGTTTGGTTGTTGCTATCAATATTACTCTCACCCTAAATCCCAAACCCAGCACTGTGCTGACCACTGAGAGGAAAGTTAACTCTATCCCAAGCAAAACTAGGACAGTTTCAGAGGCTCCTGCCCATGGAGAGTAGGAAGTGCCTCACTGGGAGCAGAGAACCCAGAGTTTCCCCAGTCTTGATGCTACCACGGTGGAAGAGGCTTAGGGCAGAGCTCGGGGGGCAATACCTGGGCTTGACCCTGTGCTGCAACTCTGCAGCTCCCAGAGTGGAGCAGCGAGAGCAATGGTGCTGCCTGTGACCAGATGCCACCACAACGATGACAAGTGAAGTGGCAGTAAAGAAGGTCCAACCAGAAAAGTGTTCAGAGATGAAATCTAGCCTGTACCCAGGCAATGTCCCCCTTCACCTACATCCACTTTCTCCTCTCCTAAGGACACGATTTAGCAGGATCCTGTGAGGTGGGACCTTGATGGGGCGATATCAGAGAATGGCAGATGTGTGGCCATTCTTGTGGATTCCTGCCTCTCCTGTGGATTTCAGACACAGCTCAGCATTGTGCTTTCCTTCCTGGGCTGCCCCTACTGCTGCCCCTGCACTGCTACCAGTGCTCTGCTGCTGCAAGAAATGTGCTTAGTGCACATCAGGCAAGGACAGGCTCTGGATGTGTGGGGAAGATAATTGTTATCATGAGTATCCAGCTATGTTTGGAGTTTTTTAACTTAATTGAAAAAAGCCAGAGGCACTATGCCAGCACCCTTGGAGGAGCTGGACCCTGCTATATTTTCCATGGCCTCGTACAGAGCAGCTCTGCAGTGCCCTGGCACTCAGTGATGGTCCCTGCCATGGCACCACCGGGCACAAAGCTCCTCCCTGCACCCAGCCTTTGTGCTCCCTATTGTCCCTGCAGTCCCAGCTGAGGGGTGGGGGGATGAAGGAGGCTCTGTTGTGGTATCCACTTCCATGACCTGCTAGTCCTCTCCTTGGTGGCCAGAGGATCCACATGAGGAGAAGCCAGCAGGATGCAGGACCCTCCCAGTTCCCAGCACCAAGACCCAAGTGATGGCGTTCACCTTTCCAGTCTCTTCCCTGTCCCCCGTGTTCCCTCCCTGTCAGGGGCACAGCTTGAGCCACGAGTCCATCCCCACCCAGAGCCACGGGCGCAGCCTCTCCCCAGCACACGAGGCCAGGCAGAAAGCAAAGATTGGGGCTTCACTCTCAGCATCAGCAAAAGTCACCTGCTTGTCTATGAAATCCAGGCAGACCTGGATGGCCCTGGGGAGGCAGGTAAGGTGAAGTGGGGTCCACTCAGGATCACTGAAAGCATGGTACTGTCCAAACCACTGCCCCACGGCCCAGATCCCCTCCTGGGGCGTAAAACTGAGGACCCCCTTCCTCCTGACAGACTCCTGGGCCACTCCCACTGCCCACCAGTCCCCTGCCTCGGCCACCTCCACCTCCCAGCAGTGTCTCCCCGCAGCGAAGCCCTGGCTGCCCAGCACACACGGTTCCGTGTCAAACCGCTCGGGGTTGTTGGGCAGCAGGGTCCACTCGTCCCCCCGTCCCACCCCTCGCTGGTCACTGGCCAGAATGAGGAAAGGGTTGGCGGTGTCTGGGTCCAGAGTCACGTCAGCTGGGGAGAGAGGAAGAGAAGCTGTTCAGAACAGGCAGCCCTGGGGCTGCATCCACCCCAGCAAGAGAAGGGACAGGGTGAGTTCCTTTTCCCTTGCAGAGGGAAACCCCCCCAGCTGGACTGTCCCTGGCTCCCTGCTGCCCCATCCCTGTCCCCACCCCAGGGGCCTGCACACATCCTGGACAAGGGGACCTCTGTTTCCTGGAGGAGGAGGCGGCACCTGAGTGGGTGGGAGCACACCTGCAGTGCAGCCACCTGGACCTGAGCCTGGGTGTCTCTGGTGCTGCGAGAGAAGAACAGGCAGGGCACAAACCAGTGCTGACCACAGTAGAGGTTACCCCAAGACCCATAACCCATGGCCCCAAATTCACACCTCTTTCTATGAACAGTGGAGGGGGCCAAGGATGTCAGCTCAGGAGCCTTTGGTGCTGGATCTGGGTCTACAGATGAGCACCAAGAGTTTAGCTGGGAGTGTTGCAGCCACCAAGTCCCAGCCCATGAAAAGCCTAGTCTGGGAACAAGCCCCAGTGCTTTGACCTTCAGTAGCTGTCCCACAGCAGAAGCAGGGTGCATTTTGTCCTCAAGAGAGGACAGTTCTTCCTCTTCTTCCCTTATGAAAACTCACCTCTTCCACTCATCTCCTCCACCTCACCAATCAGGGTCTCACTGTCTGCTGTCTGCATCCTGGATGCCAGCATGTCCACAGTCAGTCAACAGGAGGGGAGACAGGATTCACTGCTGGAAGTGAGAATTACAAGACTCAAGGACTGCCTGAAGATGATAAAGCAGAGAAGGAGTAATGGAAAGATCACAGCATTCAGCACTTTTTAGACATCCAGGACTTACCTGCTCAGCCTGCAGGTTGGTTCCAGGAAAGATGGTTTGAAGGTCTTCAGTCTGCTTCCCACTTCTCTGATCCCCTCATCCACTCATGGCTGGGCTGAGCTTGCCCAGCACTTCCAGCTTGTTTGAGTGAGCAGGGCACAGTCCAGAGGGGCTGGAGAGCAGACCTGGGAGTCTGTCTGGGTACCACCCCACCAAGCTTCCCCCTCCCATCATCTGGGCAATGACCTCCCATGCCCTGAAGCTGCCAGCCCTTGTGGGACCTCATCCAACACCTGAATTTGTCATTTCCTCCTGTTCCTACAGTGTCCAGTCCTTGTTTACATCACAGGGTCTGCTGCATCTCCCCTCCCTCGGCCCAGCTGCAGGTGGGTGATAAGAGCCCTTGAGTGCTGGAGGAGTCTGTATCTGCCTGTGCAGGATGCTCAGAGCCCTCTTGGGCCATGGCCCCACAGGCACCTCCAGCCCCTTGGGATGGCACCTGGGGACACCAGCCACAGAGCAGTGGCCGTGCTCTGGGCGTCCAAGCTGCATTCTGGGAAAGGGGGAGCTCTGGCTCCTGCCCTTCTGTCTGCCCAGTTCTGTCCTGCTGATGGCTCATGGTGGAGATGTGTGCAGGGCACGTGCCACCTCGATTGCTCATCTGGTAAATGCGGAACAGCACGTGCCGGGCTTTGCATCCCACCTCTCTGTTCTCCGGGCAGCTCTTCCTGTGTCGAGGGATGACGGCCTTATTCCCAGTCACAGGGAACGCAAGGCATGCCACTCTGCTTTGTCACATCTCTCTGGAAGGCACCAGCTGAGCACAAATAAAGCAGGGTGCAAGGCAGCTGCTGCCAGGTGGCTTTGCAGACACCCACATGAACCCTCTGCCTGCCTGAACCCTGCCTTGGCCAAGCTCACTTTACCCATGACGGATTGCACTTTACCCATGACCAGTTCCTTTTACACTCTTTTGGCATGTCTGACACCTTGTCCTCCCCAAATCCTTTCACCCCACTTGGCTTTAGTGCTCACATCCTTCCCTTGGCACGTGGAGTCGTCCGGGACACGCAGCTTTGATCCCCAGCTTTGCACACCTATGCAGGCTGGATTTCCCTGGAATTGTGATCCCATCGTTAAATTATGAGGTTTGATTATTACACTTTCTTTGCTCTCATTTGTTGTTGTTGTGGGTTAGGATTTTTCCTTTTGTTCTTCCTCTCAGGGAATTTTCTCCCATTTGTTGCTAAGAGACAACAGCGACCGATACTTAAAGAGAGACAAGATCTGGCCAAGGAGAAGGGGGAGGAGTGGAGCTGGCCGCACTATGGCAGCTGAGGGGCATTCTCTCGGGAAGGGCAGATTTTCCGGGAGATCTGGGCTGGCAGGAGGGGCTGTAGCTCTCTCTCGCTCTGGACATCAGAGGGGAGACAGGCGGGGAGGATTCACCTCCTCTGCGGGATGGCTCTGCTCCTGCCTTCTACCGCAAATTAAACTCTGCTGAGAGCGGCCGTGTCACTGGGACCTTACTGACACCTGCCTCACCTCACAAAGGACCCTCACCATCTACTCGGGTGCCTCGGGGCTCCCTCCCTCCGAGGGAGCCTCTCCCGCCGCTGTTCGGGAGCCGAGCGGCCACTGCCCAGCGCCGCCGCTTCTCTGCCGCTGCTCCGGGCTTTTCACTGCCCTGTAACTCAGCACCCCCGCCTGCCGGGACACCCCTCGGCTCCTGCGACAGCTGCGGAGTTTCTGTTACATTTCATTTGCTGCTCCGGAGTCTGCTCGTCCCTGCGGTTCCAGCCACGGCTCCGAGGTTCCCGCTGCAGCCGTTCCCGCCATCCAGCCCGCCCGCCATTGCCGTGTGGAGAGGCGGCCGAGCTCGCGCCACAGCGCCCCCTGCAGCCGCGGGGGAATCATCGCACCTGCCCCGCCCGGCCGGGAGCCACCGGCGCCCCTGGCGGCTGTGCCCGGAACTGCAGCAAAGGGGAAAGTGCCGAGAGAGGCTGGGGCTGTGCTTGGGGCTGGGGCTGGGGCTGGGGCTGGGGCTGTGCTTGGGGCTGGGGCTGGGGCTGTGCTTGGGGCTGGGGCTGGGGCTGTGCTTGGGGCTGGGGCTGGGGCTGTGCTTGGGGCTGGGGCTGGGGCTGTGCTTGGGGCTGAGGCTGGGGCTGTGGTTGTTTGTTTGCCTTGTTTTATACACACACACATATATACTGGTAAAGAATTGTTATTCCTTTTCCCATTTCTTTGCCTCAAAGGCCTCTGATTTCAAGATTATAATAATTTGGCCATTCCAAGGGAGGTTCCCACCTTCCTTGGCAGACATCTGTCTTTCAAACCAGGACAGTTGTCCAGGTCTGTGTCTCTGTACACTTTATTTTTTGCTCCCTTATTTTCCTTGTACCGCTTTTGGCCAGGTCGCTGATCAGGTCCCTTTGCCCCAGCAGGTCCCCATGCCTGGCTGGGCTGGGACGGTGCTGCACCTAGCTGGGCTGAGCTCCACTGGCACTGCCTTTGCCTCTCTCAGGGCAGCAGATTTCTCCAAAGGAACCATCCTTGATAGCCTCACCTTTCAGCTGGGAATTGCTTTCAAGCAATTTTTAAGCTACTGCTGGGCTTTGCTGCCACCCTGGCACTGCCTCTGGGTGTGAGTCCTGGCTCCATCACCTCCCTCCTTCCCAGAGCCTCTGTGCTCATGCCAGGGATGTGCAAACTCCTGCCAGTCCAGGCAGAGCTGTGGGAGGAGGCTGTCACATGCAGCCCTGCAGAGTCCTTGCGGCAGGGTGTCTGTGCATGCTGCCAAAAGGGCATGTCCAGAGCAAAAGCATTACCAAAATCCTCCAAATTACTCAGCAACTTTAATTTTGGAGCAGAGGTAACACAGGGGGCAATGGGTAGCAAGCTGGGACAGGGTGACATTTTTGTTTCCTTTTCAGGCAGGGAAAGACTCAGCTGGGACCAGGGGGCTCTCCGAAGTGCTGGGTGACGGCTGAGCAGCTCCTCCTCCAGCTCAGAATGCAGGAGAGGGCCCAGGGTCTCCAACTAGGTGGCGTTTTTTGGGAATCTGCAGATGAAAAGGACCCTCTGGCATCTGTCAGAACTGCCCATGGTTTCCACCTCTTGTTAGCAAAGTGAGTGAGCAAAAAGAGGGGATGTGAGAGCAGAGCAGGGTCAGGTCCTGTCCTGGCTGCATCTTGGATTAGTGGATTAGTGTTTTGGGTATTTTGCTTCTACTGATCCAAGGCCACTTCCTGCTCTCTTTGAGGTGCATGGAATGAGTCCTGGTTTGGTCAGGACTTCTCCTTCTCGTTCTGCACCTGTTTGTCTCTTAATGCTGAATCAAAAAAGGCAGAGCAGGCTGGCTTTTGCTTTCCTCTGGGAAATCCCCACAACCTTTTATACCAGCCTCATACTTTGTGTATAAAACTGTAACCAATATCAGGCTGAAGATGGAAAATCAATTTCAACCTTTGGCATCTGAGGTTCTTCACTAGGCTTTACAAAAAGGAGCTGGATTCAGCAATGAATCCCTTTAAAAGTGAATTTTTCTTTTTTTTTTTTTTTTTCCTTCTCTTGGTTTTCCTCCCTTTTGCCCTTTCCCTCTCCTTCCTCATCTCCAGGTGGTGCTCCTGTTCCCAGCTCCTCTCCTCTCCTCTTCCTCCTCCAGCTCAGAATGCAGGAGAGGGCCCAGGGTCTCCAACTAGGTGGCGTTTTTTGGGAATCTGCAGATGAAAAGGACCCTCTGGCATCTATCAGAACTGCCCATGGTTTCCACCTCTTGTTAGCAAAGTGAGTGAGCAAAAAGAGGGGATGTGAGAGCAGAGCAGGGTCAGGTCCTGTCCTGGCTGCATCTTGGAGTCTTGGATTAGTGTTTTGGGTATTTTGCTTCTACTGATCCAAGGCCACTTCCTGCTCTCTTTGAGGTGCATGGAATGAGTCCTGGTTTGGTCAGGACTTCTCCTTCTCGTTCTGCACCTGTTTGTCTCTTAATGCTGAATCAAAAAAGGCAGAGCAGGCTGGCTTTTGCTTTCCTCTGGGAAATCCCCACAACCTTTTATACCAGCCTCATACTTTGTGTATAAAACTGTAACCAATATCAGGCTGAAGATGGAAAATCAATTTCAACCTTTGGCATCTGAGGTTCTTCACTAGGCTTTACAAAAAGGAGCTGGATTCAGCAATGAATCCCTTTAAAAGTGAATTTTGCTTTTTTTTTTTTTTTTTCCTTCTCTTGGTTTTCCTCCCTTTTGCCCTTTCCCTCTCCTTCCTCATCTCCAGGTGGTGCTCCTGTTCCCAGCTCCTCTCCTCTCCTCTCTCCTGGATTTTGTCATTTACAGTTCTCCCAGTTCATGAGCAGCACCAGGTAAGAATTCCCTGGATCCTGCTGATCTCTTTGGCACAGCTTCCAGCCCAAGCATCTTCCTGGCTCCCTGTGAACAGCAGAGCTCAGAGCAGGGTCAGGCCCTTTCCATAAACCTTCTCCCTTTCTGGGAGCACCAGCATCCCTCTGGATCTTGGTGCATCCCTCCAGCCATGGCAGCACAGGCAGTGGAACAGCCTCACTGAACCTGGGTGAGGATTAGATGACGCTGAAGGATTGATTATCATTTGCTGCCATGTTCCTCCCTGGTTTTCTTGTTTCCTGCACATTCCTATTTATTGCACAGTGTCCAGAGTGTGTTGGACCCTTTGGAAAACCAGATCAATAATGGAAAAAAAGCCAGCAACAACAAATTTAGCCTGGGCTCTTATGTTGCTGACCTGAAGCATCTTCTTCAAGGCAGCCCTGGCAAAGGATGCAGCAGAGCACTTAACTCAAAAGTGATCTTGTAAAAAATGTTAGTTTGCTTTTGTTTCCCTTCAACCAGAACCACTTTCTCAGTGAGCTAAGTGGCCAGTTTATGATAAGCCTTTTTCTTTTAAATTTTCAAAGGTGCCAAGAGTACCTGAGATGTTTCTACTTTTTTAATAGGTGTTTGTAAAGATGAGAAGAGATAAGGATATTTGAATTTTATTTGTAGCCGAGTTGTCACTTGCCCCAGCCAACCTCCCAGAAACCTTCCAGCCACTTCCATCATTCCTTGTCCTGCTTTCTGCCTGCCCTGAGCTGCATGGGCACCACTTGTGCCCTTGAGAACCAGGGCTTTGAAGAACTCTCCCAGCAGCACAGGACAGGGAAGCAGGGGGGGTGGTGGCCTGGCCCCAGCCCCCTGCCCATGCTGCAGGGCAGGGTTCCTGTGTCAGTTTGGAAAGACAGGTGTCTGCTGAGGAACGCAGGAGCCTCCCCTGAAATGGAAAACATAAAACCCCTCCCTCCAAATTGTTATGAATTTGAAATTAAGGGGCTCTCAGGCAAAAATATGGGAGCAGGAATAACAGTTCTTTAATAGGGAAGAAAATATAAACCCTCTCCCTCCAAATTGTTATGAATTTGAAATTAAGGGGCTCTCAGGCAAAAATATGGGAGCAGGAATAACAGTTCTTTAATAGGGAAGAAAATAAAAAGATAAAAAAAAATGCAGTAAACCAAAACAACACTGACAGAGTCAGAACACAACCTGTGGGTCAGGGTGTTGGCAGCAGTCCAATTGGAATGGTTGCTGCAGTCCTCCTGGAGTGTCAGGGGTGGTTCTCTTGGAGCAGGGATGCTGTAGAAAAGGGTGTAGTCTTCCTCTGAAGATGCAGTGGAAGAGGCAGCTGTTCCTCTGGGAAATCCAGTGGAGAAGCTGTGGTGCTGTCCCAGGATCTCAGATTATATCCAGGTGGGAATGCTGGGCTCCTCCCCTGGGCTCACATCTCCCAATGGATGCTGCAGTTCTTATCAGCCATGCAGGGACACTCAACAGCCTGTTATCAGCAGGTGTCTCTGAGGAGGGAGGAGTGGGTGTGGAAGAGATAAACTGCCCACTGAACAGAAGATAACTGCCACAACTCTAACAGATGGTAAATGGAATACATCTTGCCTTGCAATCTGGGACACTCCCTCTCCCAGCTCCCCTCAGTAGCCCTTGTGCCTGGCATGGGGATGCTGCCAGCACGATGACCTGGTATCTCAGTTTTGGAGACAAACTGCAGGAGGAAACACCTGGAATGAGCATTTCCTCTAGAGGGAAAGGGCTTAAATAACTCCTTTTTCTTCTGCCAATGAGAGAAATGGGTATCAGGGGAAGAAAATGAAAAAAATGTAAAACTGTTTATTAACAAAGTAAGATACCTGCAAAGCACAGGGGAAAAAAAGAAAATTGAACCTTTTACCCCATCCCCACCTTGCTGAGAGGTAAAGATGGCAGCTGCCCTTAGTTGTCTCTGGGAATGGGGGGAGAAAATAGTTTCTGCAGCGACCTGGGAACCTGCTGGATTTCTGGCATGGGTCTTCTCCTCACAGCAGGTGAAGCTGGTGGACTTTAATGTCCCTTCTTTTGCTGGTCTTTCAGCGGTTTGGACTGACCAGGGCTGCCCCTGCAGTCTCCTTGGGCCAAAGGAAAAAAACAAACCAAAACAGTTCAAGGAAAAAAAAATAACCAAAAAGCCTCCGAAAGGATTTGCTGGTGAAAAGCCTCCAGGCCAGGGAAAGAAAAAAACCAAACCAAACACAAACAAACCCCAAAACCAAAAACAAAACAAAAAACCCCACCCAAAAGCTTCTTGCCCAGATTGGCGAAAACGAATGCAGCAAAAGCAGTGAAGTAGCAGTCCCCGTAGCTGCCCACCATGCCAGAGACAGACTGAACAGAGCCCGTGCCTGGGCTCTCAGGCTCTGGCCCTGTCCCCTGGTTCCTGTTAAAGATACCACAGACATTTTTGGGCATAAAGCAGACTTTAGGGAATAAAGTATCGCCATAAGCACGCCAACAGCTGGCCTGGCAGCACACGCACAGTGCCGAGCAGCACCTGCTGTGCCTGAGCTCAGGCGCCACAGCAGACTCACGTCTCTCTCTTCTTCCTCCACGTGTTTCTCTGAGCTCTGCTCAGGGTGAGGGGACACCCCACCCCATCACCTGGCCAAGGGCAGGAACATCATGCTGCCCTGCAGCTTCTCCCCAGAACAGGACACGGAGGTGACCTGGTTTTGCGAGCAGCTCTCACCCTTTGTGCATCACTACAGGGGGACAGGACCAGTATGGGGAGCAGGTGCTTCAGTACTGAGGGCACACGGAGCTGCTGAAGAATGACCCTGCCCAGGGCAGCACACACTTGAAAATTTTCCATGTCCAACTCTCTGACAGGGAATTACACGTTTTGTTCAACATGGCTTAGATTACGCTGAGGTTAGTGGCAGAGTTCAAGGTGACAGGTCTGTAGTTTGTGTTCCTGGTACCTCTAACGTATTTGCTTGCAGCCAGCGTGCTTTTTCCCTGTCCTGCTGCCCAGAAGCAGTTTGAGGTGGCTGCGCTGCTTTGGAAATAGGGTTAAGTCCCATGTTTGAAAATACCAAGGTTATTTCAGAGAGCTGAAATTACCTACCAAGTGGCCATAAGGAGATATTCTTCCTCCTTCAGAAGTGTTCTTGCTACTGTTTTCTTCATATAAGAAGGTGTAAGAAAAAAATTAGGCATTGGGTAATAGAGGAAGAATGTTGTAGTTTGTGCATTTATGTTTTAATACCCTGGCCTGTGGATTATTTTGTTGCAGAACTGGCCACCAGAGCAGATCTCTATGTTATGCAAATGAGATTGCAAGAAATATCCTGACTCCAGGTGACACTTGTCTGAAAAAACTCTTTGATTTGCCTGTGTCAAAGTTTGTCATTGTCAGGAAGAGAAACAGCCAAACCACCACATCCCCCAATATGCAGCACCCCACAGGCTCACCCGGGGGTCTCTGTTCCCAGTGGCTCTGCCCCGTACATCGCACGGGAGTGCCATGAGGCCGAGGGATCCGGTGTCCTGCAGCTCAGCCAGCTGGTACCCCAGCCTCCACTGCTGTGGCAAGATTCCGTGGGTGGCAGCTCCCATCCCACTGGGAAGACACTGCCCTGGCTGAGAATGGGCTCTGCAGTGGAGAGCAGCATGATCCTGAGCAGAGGCGTGACCCAGGACTCTCCTGTCGCTGCAGCACGTCCCACTCAGCCCGGAGCAGGGCTCAGCTCTTTAGTACTGGTATCAGGCAGGCCGAGCCCAGGGCATTGCCCCAGCCCTGCCCAGGGAGCTGCACCCAGCAGAGGCCCCGGGGCATGGCCCAGCAGCGTGCTCAGCACACGGCCATCTCCATTCCATTTCCATTTCCATGTGCAAACAGCTGTGATTTTGATAGGGTGTGGGCATCTGTGCTCCTAAATCCACCACTTCCTTCGGGAAGTACAGGTTGGGGGGAAAAAGATCAGCCTTCAGTGTGGCAGAGTTTCTGCAGAACCCTGGCTGAAATAAACACTGGAACTAAATGAAAAAGGGAAAACGAACCCATGCCCTTAGTCTCCCCCACTGCGAGATCCTGTCCTGCAGGTTCAGTATGAGAAAGAAATCCTTGTCTCTCAATTTAGCACCTGCAGATACTGAATATATTTTTTATTTTCCCTTGTGTCATGAGAAAGCTCCTTTTCCACTGGATGATTTGTTGGATTGAGAGCCTCATGGGAGTCCAGCGTGGCTAGCTCTGGACTCTGGCTTCACCGACAAGGACAACAGCAAAGGATGAGAGACACTCTTCTTCTTGGGATGAACATCCCACAACTTTATTGTGGAACGCCTCCAGGGGAAAGAGAGAGTCCAGGAGGGAGGTAATGGCAGCCAGGAAAAGAAAGAGAGCCTGGGATGGAGCTGTCCAGGAGAAGAAAGAGAAAGAATGGAAATGGCAGGAAATTTTAAACCCAGGGGAAGGTGGGCAGAGGAGAGGGGTCACAGCCAATGGGATACAACTGATGGAGGGGCGAGGGGAGGAAGGAACCCAGGCTAAGAGCACCACCACGGGGCTTTGGAGAGGGGAGAACAGAACAAACCATGTCATACAAACAGATATTGAACTTAGTGCAATATAAAAAATACTCAGTGCAAAATTCCAATCATCCAGTGCAAAATAATAACTAAATAAACTACTTAGTGCAACACAACAATGATTGATTTGGGTCTGGAAATGTATCAGAGCAGAGATGCAATGGTGAACTGGACTAAGCATGCACCAAAAGGCACTGCAGCAGCACATGCTTTGAGGCACATCCAGATCGTGCAGCCCTTCTGCCATGAGGGTGATTGCAACCTGCTGGGGGTTAATCAGTGCTTGGTGGAAGGGATGTTGTTTTAAATTATTTGCATTTCTTTCTTTTCTTCATGGGAAACCATCAGAAAAAAAATAGGTAAGTTTTACTTTCCATTTTCCAGAAATTGGAGAAATCTTCAAATGGAAAAATTCATGGGTTGTATTTCTGGGGGACATTTGGGATGGAAATGGTTTGGATACATATAATGCAATTAATTTGAATGAATCAGTTTTGTAATTTTAAGGGAAATCATTGCAGAACCACAGAAAGTGTGGTGGCTGCAGTCCTCCTGCAGTGACAGGTGTGGTTCTGTTGAAGCAGTGATCCTGTAGAAGGGTGGAGCTTTCCTCTGAAGATCCAGTGGGGGTGTAGATGGGCCTGGTCTTCCTCTGAGAATCCAGTGGGAAAAGGTTCCAAATCTCAGATTATATCCAGGTAAGAATTCTTGGCTCCTCCCTATGGGTGGTGCATCTCACAATGGAATAATGTAATTTTATCAGTGAGACTCAATGGCCCTTTAACAGAAGACATCTCCCTGGAGGGAGGGTTGGTTGTGGAAGAGATAAAGAAAACTGCCCAATTAACAGAAGATAATTGCCCCTCCTCTAACTGATGATAATAGATTACACACCTCCACCCACAATTTGCAACCCAGGACATGCACCTTCCCCTGCCCAGTCTGCCAGCTCCCTCTCCCACCCTGCTTCTTCCTTAGGCAGCCCCAGCCAAGAGCTCCCCTGGGGTGAGCTCTGCCCTGGTGTGTTGGTTCCATCTCACCTGCAGTGAATATGGTTCTGGGTCCAGACAGAGCCCACTGGGTCCTGTCTGATGATGGCAAAAGTGTGAAATGAGGTGACACACAACAGGACATCCCTGAGAGATTTAACCCGTGCTGCTGCGTGGTGGGCTGTGATGGCTTCACCTTCAGGGAGGCAGTACTGGGAGGTGATGGATGCAGGAGGATGGGCCATGGTGGGGGGTCTCTACACAAGATGTAAAAAAGAAGAATTATATTCTCTGGCTTGAATTTAAGCCAGAGAAAGGCAGCTGGGCAGTGGGGCTTTTGCCAGGGTACTTCCTATCTCTCATCTCTCCTGATTGCACTCTCCTTCCTGAAATCAGTACCCCCAAATGGACCTGGATCTGTCTGGATTATAAAGAGGGATGGATGGAATTTTTCAGTGTTGGTGAGGGTATGTCCATCTTTGCATTTCGATTGATATTGTCTGAGAGAAAAAAATCCACTTTTGGTTCTATCTGGGTCCTGGGACCTCTCAAAATATGACTGTGGTGAATGCAAGGGAGTGAGATAAGGCTTTTCTAGGAGAACTTGGTAGTTCATACTCACAGAAGGATTGAGTTTTAAAGGAACCTGTGGAGGTTTCTGTGGCAACCAGCTGCTCAGAGCTGGGCTAACCTGAGGGCTGCCTTTGGTGTCTTTGGACCTTGTTCGGCTGAGCTGTGGAGGGTTTCCCAGGGCAGAGATCTTGTTATGTCTCGGGACCTCTGTCCAATGCTGCATCTCTCAACCCTTTGTCTTCGGTCAGAATTTCTCCAGTTGCAACTCATGTTGTCAACTCTCCTTGTTCTGTTGAACACAACTTCTACTGAAAAGATGTTCCAGGAACAGGGATTTTTTAAAAAAATGTATACAATGAAATTACTTTGGTGTCATTTGTGTGTATGTGTGTCAGCATCATTGTCTCTGAGCAATGTCTCCTGCTCCTTTCAGCCTGTGGGATTTGCAGGCACTTAGGAGAAAACGGCTCACTGCATCCTGCTGGATGAAGTCATGTCAGTGGGGCAGGTCTGCTGGGCTAAGGAAAGGGTTACAGAACAGCAGTGGCAGCAACATCATGTTTTGAACAAACTACACCAGCTCAACAAGAGACCACTTCAACCAGAACATGAAGAAATCTGAAACAAAACAGTTTTTCTGCTCTACTGACTTGTGACTCTGGAAAGAATAATGGAAGATGTCAAGAGGACAGATTTATTGTAGAACTGTGATTAATTTTAAGCTTGCAGTTAAAAATAGCTTTTGGGCTAAGGATATAAATTTGGTGAGCTTGGCAAATGAAGTAAATTCACTTGCACCTAGCTTGTGTCTCTTGCCTTCATCTGTCTCACAGGTCCATGGCTGTGCTTGTCCCCACACCTGCCAGCAGCACAAACCCTGGGGTTGAGTTCACCTGTGACCTGGTGATATCCCACACTGTGAGATGGGTAACTCCAGATTTTTTTGCTATAGGAAAAGCTCTCCCTGCAAAGGGAGGAAAGCAGTGTGTTCTTTCTCAGACATGATTTTACATCAGATAGTCCAGTCAACTGGTGTCCAGCAGGCATGGACCCTCCCAAGGGAAGGCTTCACCCAGATACAGCTGGTAAGGAAGGAGACTTCAGTACAGGTGGTGAGTTGGGCAACAAGTGCCCAGACCTTTCTCCTGGAGAAAAGGTAAATACCTTTGAAATAAGTGGGCAGGAGATCTTTCTCCTTTTTGATGCCTTTATTAAAGAGATTCAGCTCAGGTGGGAGAAATCGACGGGTCGCGCCCACGCCTCCGCTGCTCCCAGGAGTGGCACGGAGGAGGAGGGTGATGCAGCTCTGTCCGAGGGTCTGCAGGCAGAGCTGGGGATTCCGTCCTCATGGGACATTCGCAGATTCCTCCTTTTTGGTCCAACACTTCGGGTCCCCTCCCTAGTGAACATCCTTTCAGGTCAGGGTGAGAAGCAAAAAGGATCCAAGCAGGCACTGGACTTCATGCCCATCCTTAGACATCACCTAGGTCCCCCAATTCTATGTTGGCTCGTTGTTTTTAGGGGTTTTCCTGGAAAACTGTAAGATTTGGTGCAATGCATTTCTCATCTGCATACTAGCTCTGATGCCACTCCCATGCCCTGCTGCTTGCAGGGTCCCAGTGTCACTCCCTGGCAAGCACCAGGGGGACAATGGCTAATCACCAACCATTAACAGGCAATTGAAGAAGAACTCTTAACAATGAAGCTAATTTAACAGCAATTGGTCTAACCGGTTTTAGCTCTGTAACCTTAAACAAAAATAGATAACTTTTTATTCATAACACCTTCCTAAGGGGTGCACAGGTTTGATGATCTGTTATGTCACAAACAGGAAACAGTTAAAAGGCTGTGCAGTATTAGGGGACCTGAGATGGATGTGGACAGGTGGTTTCAGAACCATGTTCCTCTGGCAGGCACTGAGAACGAGGCACCTCAGAGCTGGTGACCCCCAGAAGCAGGACTGTGCGTCAGCCTCCGCCCTCCAGTGAAACAGGAACCTCCTCAAGCCAGGTCTCATAAGCTCTTGGAGGTTTATTTCACACCCAAGATAGCTCAGCTACCTTAGAAGGCATAAAATCAGCAGGATGGCTTCTGTTGCAGTGCTGGAAACAAAGAGGTTTTAATAAAAGGCAAAATAACAACTTTACAGAGAAAACCGATCCAGGTGCAAGAGGCCCTCCTGCCCCTGGTAAAACACCTCACAAAAGCCATTCGTTTCTTTGTTCTCTTCTTTTTCTAGTAAATTGTCCAGGCGGGACTTTTTGGCTCCTGTCCAATTGGCTATCCTTAAGTTTGAGGTGGAGTCCCCCAGGCCTATGAGATGCCTTTTTCACCTAATCCAGGAGAGAAACTTCTGGGTTTATTTCCCTTTTAAGGGGACAAAGGATAGTTTTGTCACTCCATCAACAGGGGACACATCCCTACACTCCAGCACCACACCAGACCTAGAAGTAGCACTTTGGCAGCTCTAGACACCCTCGAGCAAGGTCTGCAAGGAGAAACTGTACCAGAAGCACAGAGGGGACGCTGTAAAAGAAATTATGAGTGCTCACAGTGGGTGGCTCTGATAAGGGACCGTGAGGCCTTCAGCAGAGTCATGTGAGGTAGCCTACCTTCTGGCAGCTGAGGTCTGAAATATTGTTGAGAGGGTGCCACAACCTCTCAAGAGCACATACTGCTCTCCACTGCTGCTCTTCCATGTGGCACAAATGACACACAAGCCAGAACCTGGGCAAAATCAAGAAAGATTACAAAGCCCTGGGGGCCCAAGTGAAAAATATTGGTGCCCGAGTAATCTTTTCCTTCATTTCACCCGTAAGAGGAGTAATATATGTTATAAAATAATTAGTGCTAAATTAAATTTAGAACCACAGCATTTTGTGTACTAAAACCAATGGTGGCAACAAGCAGAAATAAACTAAGCAATAAAGATTCAAACACCAGGACGGTGACTGTCTCCAGAGATGTATATTCCAAGGGATTTCTCTCGTCTGACAAGACCCCAGCAGGAGGCATTTTAATAGGCATCATCAGAAGTTTAGTCCAGAAAGTTTTCACCTGACAGGATTCCAGCAATTATCCACCGGTTCCAGGAAACGCAATAATATGCTAAAGAAGAGCCCCTTCCAGAGCCCAAAGGACTGGATAAAATGGACCCCTTAGAAATGATCTTTGGAGACCCACGGGGACTTTGGTATGATAGACACCAAATCCTGAGTCTCCCCGACCCTGCTCGCCTGGCTCAGAGTCGAATTGCTTGAACCAGCACAAATTTATACTTTGATTATTTAATAAATTTCCTTAATTATTAAATTGGAGTATTCATTTATAACAGAGGAAAGAGGACAGCCAGGAATAAATGTGTAATGCATATCAATTTCTGGCTTTGTGGCTGGTGCCATCATGGGGGTTTGGCTTTTATGATAACAGGACGTTCTTCGATGACTACAACCTGTTAGGGAGGGATGGGATCCATGTGTCTAGAAGAGGTCAGGGAACGTGACTGCAGGCTAGACACCTTGGACAGAGGGGCTTTAAACTGAAGGACTTGGGGCCACTTCCACCATCACGGCAAGGAATTAGTCAGGACCCCCAGAGCAGTGGCAAATGCTCCTTTGTGGCCTCCCAAGACGAGAGCAGAAGACCAACCACCTCAGGGCACGTGTGGCTGTTGTGTATCCTCTTGGACCCCTCCTGGGAAGGCTGCCTGCTCCATTACTCCTGAACTGCCTGCAGACCAAGCACACAGCATGGGAAGGATCAGGGAGCTGTGTGTGCTCACAGGGCCATGGTCCCACTGCAGTTACAGAGATGTGGTGGAATAGCTGGCATGACTGGAATGGATGTGGATGGCTACACACTAAGAAAGACAGGTCAGCAAGGCAAGGGGCTTTGGCATGACTGGAATGCTGGTGTGGATGGCTACACACTAAGAAAGACAGGTCAGCAAGGCAAGGGGCTGCAGCTGCTCTTTACATGAGAGAGGGACTAGAATGGATCAAGCTGTGCCCAGGGATGGATGAAGACCAAGGCAGGAGTTTATGGGTAAGCATTTAGGGACTGGTTCATGGCCTACAGGACTCAGACAGTGACTGTCCCCCTTTGCTGGGCACTGCTAAGGCCTCACCTCAAATCCTGGAGTCAGTTTTGGGCCCCTCATGACAAGAAGGACATTGAGGGGCTGGGGCACAAGTCTGATGAGAAGCAGCTGAGGAATGTCGTGGGGCTCAGCCTGGAGAAAGGAGTCTTACAAAGGACCTTCTGGGTTCCATGAAGGGTGGTTCACCTCATTGCAGCCTCGCTTTTTGCAGCATCAGGAGACTGCAGATGAGATGATGACAAAGAAGGGAAACAGAGAAATATCCCAATGCTCCTGCCAGTGCAGGCAGATCAGGGAAGATATATGGGCACAAGGGAGTATCTCCTCATCAGAGGCTGGGCTGCTGTGGAGGTACCTCATCCTTGCACCAATGGCCTTAACAGCAGTGACTTTGGTGGGTGGGAGAACAGACCAGGGACTTGGAAGCAAAGAATAGTTTAAATTAGGAAGTACCTTTAAGATCACCAATGCCACAAGTCCAACTGTTAACCCAGCACTGTCCAGACCATCACTAAACCACATCCCCAAGTGGCATTTCTACACGTCTTTTAAATCTCTCCAGAGATGGGGACTTCACCACTGCCTGGGCAGCCTGTGCTGTGGAATCCTCTGAATCTTTCTCCCTCAGGGAAATCCCCAGAGCATTGCCTTGGAGAGACATACCATGGAGTTTACCCCACCTGGGCGGAGGGAAAGGACTTCCTCAGGGACTCTTGCTTAACACTGATCCATCCCAGCTCCTTCCCCCATATGTCCCAACTTCCCCTGGTTTCTCCTTGCCCTGTTTCCTCACTAGTTGTGGTGCCCCTGCTGGCCAGCCCCATCTTCCCTGAAAGCCAAAGCCCTTTGCCCTGCCCTTTTACTGCCCCTTTCCCTCCCCTACTTAACCTTGTGCAGAGCACACAGTCCTGACTTTTGTCTCTGGTTCCCCTTTGGTGTGCTGAAACAAACCTCACTGGAAGTGACCATACAAAAGGCCCTTCTGCCTCTCTTTGCTGAGCTGGCTCTGGTGAGTGTGGTGTGTGTGGACTTGACTGCTTTGCCTGAATGCTTACCCAAGTGGCTTTTCCACAGGAGATGCTTATTGGAAAATAAGTATACGTAGCAGCAACCACCATCCACGCTACTACACTGTGCCAGTGCTCAATGCCTTCCAATTCTTTAGGTGAAGAAAAATTAGTGTAGAAGGTGAGGCTTGCCCTGAGAATACCCCCTGCTTGATCATGGTGTCTCTCCTGTCAGGTAACCTTGCTCTGGCTAAGGCATCTGCACTGCAGGGGATGGCAGGGACGAGCCTGAATTGCCTTTCCCAAGGCATTTCAGGTGACACTTTCCTTTCCCTCCCTGCCTGGAGATGTCTCTGCCAGGAGCTGTTTCTGGTTCCTACAGCTCCCCCCTGTCAGTGTCCAGAGACCCCTTCCCAGCTGCTGAGTGCTCAGCACTGCCCTGCAAGGACCTCCTGGCAGCAGCACACTGCCCAGGGACAGAGCTGTGTGCAGGGCCTCGCGAGCTGTGCAGCCAAGTCCTAATGAGAGTTGAGGTCTCGGTGCCTTCTCCAAAATGCAGTCTGCTGTCTCAGGGAACCAAGAGGAGAAAACACAATGCACAGACTCCTTCCCTTTCATTCAACCCCTGCTTTGATATTCTTCTTCAAAATTCTTCTCCTTCTTCTTTGATATTCTTCTTCAGAACTGCCATCAGAAATATCCTGAGTATGATGTGGAGCTGTGAACAGCCCTGGCCCATGAAGGACCCTCTCAACAGAAACAGGACTCTGTCCTTCCCAGTGTGGTTCCTTCCACCCCCAGCTTCTCCCCAAAGAGCTCTGGGAAGCTTCCTGGG